AAAAAAAAAAAAAAAAAAAGGCTTTCTGGATCGTAGCTTTACCAACCCATGGCCAATACAGGCCATACCCCACAGCCACCCTGTCATAAGCGGCACATGATTTTGAAACTTTCGCTGCCGCGTTCTTGCTGCCAAACAAACTGCACCCATGACATGGCACATCATGTATGTCCTGCGACCTTGTGCATTCGCAGTGTTTCGGCTGACTGGCGACCTGCCATAGGGCCCTCGCCAACCGCGGAAGGCGGTCCTGGTCACATCTGGAAATGCGATGACCTCGATGCAGCATGTCTGCGTTCTATTCGTATTCACAGCTGCATGCAAAACATGCATGCCCAAGCATGCAACTCCGGACACTGGACATGATGCTGCACCCCGTGCCCCACAATATGGTCCCCAGAAAAACTCAAAATTGGCATTACGAATAAGGCTCCCGCAGTTCTCAAGGCTCTGGGGATTACTTGAAAGAGGACAATCCGGATTCAGTTGCGGGGCCCTTCAAACCAAAACACATTAGAGAGACTCTCCAAACAATGGGCTGAAACTCTGTAGGCGGCGGCCGAAACACGGTAAAGACAGCCTCTTGTTAAACAGTGAGTGCGCATTACTCTTCTCGCCTTCTGCTTCTCGGCGGGGAGGCTGGCCGTTGACTTGTAAGTAAAATCGCCAAAGGCCTCAATGGCCAGAACAATTCTCTGACAGCAGCGTATCAATGCCAATCAGGCCTTCCCTGCCGTACCATGAAAGATTTACTGGAACCATAGCAGGGCCATGCGACGCATGCCTGCACGAATTTGCTTCAGCTTCCTGGCAAACATGGCTGTAGTATGGGCCTTTTGCCCCAAGACTCTGAACTGGGCTGGTACGAGAGCACGAACTTCAGCGCATCGAATCCAATGAGAAGTGACAGAACAGCTGAGCTGCGAACTCTTGACAGATTGAGGTTACCGTCTACGCGGTGACACGGCCCAATCTTAACCACCTGCACAACTCCAAGACAACCTGGTGTTCAGATTCGCTCAGTAGGGAATGAGGGAATGGACGCTGGAGTAATCCCCATATGGAAAATGAAGGGTACCATTTTGGTTCCCATAATAAGAACAATAGTATATTGGAGTCCATATTGGGTTCAGCCCATTTAGGGAAACTACCATGTCCCACAAACAGCATCCTTTCACACACTCTCCTCATGCCCTACTGAGCTATAGTCTACACTCCCAGTATTCCCCCCCTTAATAACTATAGTCCCCCTTAAGTAGATAGAATATGGGATATATGGGGGGATCTTATTATAATATTCCCAAAACCATATTCTATCTACTTAAGGGGGACTATAGGCACGAGGTTGTGAGAAGGCCGGACCTGGCCACCCGCCGCTCGGATTCTGTTTCTTTCTATCGGGTTTTCAGGCTTGTGATCCTCGGACAAGGCGATGGCCTGGCTGGTCATAGTCTGAACAAGATTAGTTATGAAAGCAATAGCAATGATACTCATAGTAGTAAAGCTAGTAGTACTAGTAGTAATAGTAATGGTCGCAATAGTAGGGTGGATTTAGAAAACAGGTGAACACTTGGGATAGCGGGGTTGTTATATATGGGTTATAGGGGTCAACTCCCACGCGTGCGCTATGCGCCCTTTGCCTTGCCATCCCGGATCAGCAACGCGCGCGAGTCGCCGACATTCCCAACAATTACCTGGATGGCTGTGACATCTCCATTATCCCAATATATACCCTATTCTAACCCAAATATGTACCCATTACAATACTTTGCATTTTCTTTTCCATCATCCCAATATATCCCCAACATGTACCCGATTACAACCCCAATATATACCCTATTATAGTAATTTCCATGTTCTTTTCCATTATCCCAATGCTATTACAAAATAGATAGCACGATGCAACTCACCGGCCTCCCGCCCAACGAAGTCCACAGCAGCAGTCACGCAGGTGGAGCCACAAGCCGCAAAAGGATGCAAGGCACCGGGAAACAGCCACCCGATTCCTCAGCTTTCAGGCTGCTTAAAACAAAACTATTATAATAGGGTATATGTTAGGGTTATAATAGGTTATATATTAGGGTTATAATTGGGTATATATTGGGGTTATAATAGGGTATAAATTAGGGTTATAATAGGGTATATATTGGGGATATATTGGGATCATGGAAAAGAAAATGGAAACTACTACAATATAACAGGGAATATGTTAGGGTTACAATTTGGGTACTCCCCCCACCCAGGAACAGTCTATATTAGGGGTCCTATTAAGGGCTATATATACCCATATTTTACTTATTATCCAACTGTGACTGAGGGGGGGCAGTATCCAAGTCATAATAGGGTATATATTGGGGATATATTGGGATAATGGAAAAGAAAATGGAAACTACTACAATACTGTTGAGGCAGGAAATCTTGCACCACCTTAAGTCCCTAAAGTCCTAGGAATTGCGGTACTTTAGGGCCCCTAGGTGGTGCAAGATTTCATCCATCAACAGTATAATAGGGTATATATTAGGGTTGCAATAGGGTATATATCCGTGTAGCTCCGCTAAGGCGGCAGCCCCATGAACCGCTACGCAGCTTCTCGTCCAGGCGTGGCAGTGACTGGCGAATCACCTTCCGCTCTCCAGACACTATTTGGGGGTGTCCCAAAATTAGGGGTCCTGCTGGTGTGAACCAGCAGGCTGTGAGGAAGTAGACAA